AATACATATAATATTCAAGTGATTCATATGCCTAAATGTTGTTTGCATGGTGTGAAAATTTCTATATATTTTTAACAGTATTTGAGAATACTACCACAAAACCTAGTTTTCTGTTGCATCTATTTCATCAGCATTTACAAGTGGTGAGACCACAAGTGTAATATCAGCCAGTTTTACAATACATCAGAGGGTAGTTTTCCTTATGTTTGGTGTTACTTAAAAATTAAATGGTATTAACTATGAAGTTATCTGTATACTACTTCAATGCATTAACAACAAAGTGCATTAACCTAAAATCTTTCCTTTACACCATGCTGGATAAACAAATGCTATAAATTTTCTATTTCAATAAAATCTAAGGACAATTTGCAACAATCATCAAAGATCTGACAAAAATCACTTAATGTATTTCAAGTAAATTATTTCATTTAATCACTGGCTTAAATTGATTTTAAAGTTATCAAAGAAATGTAAGTGGGATTTCTTAAATGTTTGCTAATTTATAATTTCCATATCGCTTCCTTTTATCAGTAATTTCAAGCTTTTAGTTAATTTTATTTGTTAAAACCTTTTTTTCTTTTGGAAGATATAGTTTTCATGCGCTTGAAGATAAATGGCTTTTATAATTCTCTAATGAAATTCCTTATAAAAAGCTTTTTGCAAGTTTTAAGATATATATCATTCAATTAACATGTTTAAATTTAGGATTTTAAATTGATTTGATTTCTTAAAAACTATTAAGTTATCCCCCGCAAAAGTGAATTATTGTCCTTTAAGGAAAATAAAACCATCCGATTATTCTAAATAAAACTTAGACGACCATAATGTTGATCATAAAATTGTACCGTGGTTTCCCTTTCTCACAGGAAACTCTCTAACTGTGAATTATTACTTTGTAATTTAAAATACAAATTAACTGATATATAATATGTTTTTCCCTCCACAATATTTTCTATTTGACTTTTTAAGCACAATAAAAGTTCCTCAATAAAATCAAGTATACATGTTATGAAGTGCATAAGATGCTATCTCTTATTCAATATTTTAAAGAAAATACATCATTATACCATAACAAATAAACTTCATCTTTACTTTATTCTATTACATTGTGTTTCATTGTGTTTCCTATTATTTACATTTTTCAAGCTGTGCTTAGGATAATGTAGGCCACTGGTTTATTCCTCTAAGTAAAGTTACACATGTCCATTATAATTCTATTAAAAAAAAGTTTTTGTCTTACTGGAGACACATAAGGATTTGGTTTAGCAGCTCTTTATACATATGCAAAGTTCCATCATAACAGGACACCATCATCATAAAAGTCTATGGCAAGATTTTCTGTGCTGTTTTTGTATAGCAGGTTTATTTCATTGGTATTAGAAAGAACATACATGTACATGTCTTTGAAGAACTTTTATTTCACACTTTCGAAAAAAAACATGTGACATGGTTTTCTGAAAGTGAATATCTTAAGTACTCAATAGCATTATTCTGAACCTTACATTTTCTAAATTGAAAAATACTTGGACACATTGCATGTCTTGTTAAGAACCATATACATATGGATATCTAATGGAAAACTGGACCTTTCAGAATAAACAAAACATTTCATTGTAGGTTGATTTGTTTGTGTTTAAAGGCACTTTCAACAGCCTTGACTATATCCTAGTGCCAGTTTGGTTGGGGGAGCTGGAGTACCTGAAAAGAACCACCAACCTTCGGCAGGAAAACAGGGCATCCTTATCAATTGTCATCAAACACACCTTGACAGGAGTCCGAACTAACAAATTCTGAGTTAAAAGGGTAGTGATACAGTAGATGAACAACTAAGACCACTTGGCCACTAAGGATTTTATTAGGCCCCTTGAGGATTGGAAAATAGTTTTTTTTATTTAAATCAGTCCAATAACGAGTGTACCACTTTCACTGATTTCATGTGTACATACATCTGACCCAGTGATAGATAAAACAAAAGAGAAAATCAAAGTTCCTTTTTCAAAATTTTCAATAAATTCCAATCTTTCTAGTAAAATGTTATAAGAACTTTGTGATGATAGCCAAAAGAGCATTTCTTTTCCCATGATTCAGGAACAAAATACGGGGGATAATGGAGAGAGTAAAGTAAGCAGTTTGTTTACCATAATGTTTATTTTCATGAATGAAACCATCTTTTTGAATACTTAAAAATAGTGAATACCACCATATGTTTTAATACATATTTGATAAATCTATTTCAGATTGTAAATGTTTTTTTTCATGATAAATTACCACAAATAGGTTTACCAAATATCAGTGTTATTGGTTGTCACTTATTGTAGAAAACATTTGTAGTCTTACTAGTAAAATTGTTCCAAATATCTGTGGTCCTGATTGTCCGAATTTTTATATAAGTACCACCATTCTGGATTCTGACTGCTATATATACATTGCAAATTAGTACAAAACATATTGCTACACCAAATGAAGTATTAATAACAAATGATAAATATCCTTTGCAAAAAGGAAAAATAAATTGAGGCAAGAATGGTTGTACCAAAGTATGGTTCTAACTTGCCCCATAGTGGTTTCTTCTGAGAAGGTTTTAGTAAGTGGAGATCAAACAAAATAAATGTTAACATTTGATTAAAGAACACATTAAAAATCATTGAAGAAAAAATGCAACTATTGTATTTAATAACATTTCTTCAATCTTAAGTTTGAATTTTCATAATATTTCAAGCTTACAGTAGTTTCATATTTTAAAATAAAACTTAATGCCCCCTCCGCTACGGTGGGGGCATAATAATTATAAATAATATAATAACAAATTTTAAAAGTAGTGGAACTATTTGGTGTTTTTATATATACAGGATGTGACAGTATGGCACAAAGTCCTTTCTCTGCTGCCTATTTGTTAAATGTGCATTTCTCTGAATTCATATGAAAGGTAAGACAATAAAAAAAATTGAGAAGTACAGTTTAAAAGTGGTTATTTAGCAAAAAGTTGGTCAACCAGGATGAAACATAATCTCAATTTGGGAATTATCATTATCCCCTTATGAAATGTAATTTCAGTTCATGATCTGCAGCCATAAACAAAGAAGTATATATGTCATTAATGACACCATGCCCTACTCAAACTATCACATTTCCATGTTCAATGAACCATAGTTAGGGTCAAAACCCTAATTTGGCACACTTTAAAGGGGTTACCATCAAATTGAACATATGTACTAAGTTTAAAGTTGACGTGACCACAATTTCATGGTAAACAATCTTAATCAAAAGCTTTAACCTGATACATGACTGACAAACACAAGAATAGACCAGACTCTTACCATAGGCAGGGCAATATAAGTGCATAGCACTATTTGATTGAAGAACAGACAGGGGTTACACTTAGTAGCAGGCTCATAAAAATCATTTAAATACCCTTTATACAGACCTGAACTGTATACAAATAATATAAAGATACATAATGTCCAGAATGCCATGTAAAGACTAGATTTAAAATAATGTATACATATATAAAATATCATCACCTTCAAAAATAATCTTCACAAATATAAATATTCCATATACAAATTAAAAATAATCAACAGATACAATAAATATCCAAAATCATAACAATATAACTATTTTGTGAAGAAGGCAGCAACAACAACATGTCTCGCACTTCTCACAATAAAAAAAGATAACTAGAGTCTGTCAAAAATCATAATTCAAAGAAGACCAGGAAACACCATTCCCGCCATACCCACCCCTAAACCCCTTAAAAAAAGACGAAAAGAAAAACAGGATAACCAAAGTGATAATTACTGTTAATTAACTCAGGATGTCATGAAATAAAAGTTCTGTCATACTAGTAATATAAGTTCCAAGTTAAAGAAATATTATGTAATATTATATCCACTGGAACAAATATTACAGTATTTGTTCCTTACAGAATAAAGGGTATACATGTATCAAATTTGTTCCAACAGGAACAGATATTATGGCATTGTTTAGAACAAAGTTTCCAGGGGAACATCTGTTATGTTATATACTTGATTTGTATGGCATTGTTTAGAACAAAGTTTCCAGGGGAACATCTGTTATGTTATATACTTGATTTGTATGGCATTGTTTAGAACAAAGTTTCCAGGGGAACTTCTGTTATGTTATATACTTGATTTGTATGGCATTGTTTAGAACAAAGTTTCCAGGGGAACTTCTGTTATGTTATATACTTGATTTGTATGGCATTGTTTAGAACAAAGTTTCCAGGGGAACTTCTGTTATGTTATATACTTGATTTGTATGGCATTGTTTAGAACAAGGTTTCCAGGGGAACTTCTGTTATGTTATATACTTGATTTGTATGGCATTGTTTAGAACAAAGTTTCCAGGGGAACTTCTGTTATGTTATATACTTGATTTGTATTATGGTTGTTGGAAACGTAGTTCAGTACATATCATACCTGAATCACAGGGGTGCTCTGGGATGATGTTTGTAAATAATATAATCATCTATATCCTCTGTATCATATTTCATTAGCATGCCTTCTCTCTCTCTCTCTTTCCCACCACATGTTAAGGTAGTCACACACAAATATATTTAGTGCAGTAAAATTGAATTTTAGAAACGATTTTGTCCTTTTTAGTCCCCCAAGGACTGAGAATGGTGGAGGACGTTAGGTAGAACAAATATACATTGACAGAGATATGGAGTAGAGGTAAATGTCATTTCTGGACATGCTTCTGAACATTATTAGTAAAAAAATCAGATGATAAAAAGCTTTAACATCGAAATATATAATTCTATGTGTCTTTATCATAGATCTTAAAAGGGAATACAGCTCTTACAACAAAGTCTTTTGAAAGAAAATTTTAAAAGTCTGTCAATTTCATAAAATTACGATTCAATATATTTATTAACATGAGGAATTATCAGTGCATCTTTCAGAACCACTGAACATGTCTGTAATCAACTGAAGTAAAAGACACCATGTCTCCAAGCAGGTTTGTTTCCTGTGTAATTATTATGAATAAAACACAAATATTATCAGTGCACCATAATCTTTTTGTTATTCTATCACTTAAGTGGAATGAAAGGAGGCCCTGAGGGAAAATATTCATAAACTTAGTGGAAAACCTAATTTGATTGTTAAGAAATGGAAAATAAAATCATTATTAATTACTTTGAAATGACACCTTTTAATTCTAACTCACAAATTATTCACATATTAATTTTGATGAATTAATATGTTGTACATGTAATTCAATTTAACATAATAAAAAACTAATACAATTATATGTAGTAAATTTTAAGCAAATGAAATTTTACAGAACAGGTTTAATATTTTGTTACTGGTATATCTTTTAAAATTGTTTCCATGAAGACCCATAATACCCCTGTAAAAGCCTCTACGCTGAACACAAATGATTATACAAATCATTACAAAAACTGATTAATTTGTCAAAAACTCATTGTGCTGACAAAACTTATCTGACAAGTGATCTCAGGAGTTAAAGGATTGTCAAAATTCTTCTTTTTAATTATTTCAATCAATAATTACTGCTTTTCTTCATCTAGGAGAATAAGTTTTCTGGTACTAACTAATCTTTGTGACAAATGATTATTCTCCATTAATGATTGTCAAATCAAGGGTTTAATATTTCTTATTCAAATGACTTCCTCTTCAGACCTAGCATATTATCAATTTGCATACAGAAGTTGGAAACTTAAGGAAAATTACTGCATTTAAATTGATCAGTTTCTGTAGCATAAACAAGTGAACATCAGGTAAAGCCAACAGGTGCTCCCAAAACCCCATCCTGACAGAACCCCAAAAAGGTTAAAGACATATTTAGATCTCATAACAAACCAATTTATCATCTAGAAACTACTAGAAATTATCAATTGTACCATTTCCAGACAATAAACGGAGAATAAATCTCCAACAGTAAATGTGATTGGTGAAAATCAAACTTAATACTGAAAAGGAGAAGTTCGGTAAGGGCTCATTTTGGCCTAAAATTTGAAGTACATTTGACGTTTTTTAAAAAGTGTTGTCTTCAGTTAATTCCATTAGTTTATGTAAAAGATTTGGTCATTAAAGACGCCCAAATTCAAGCTTGTATATGAAAAATCTATCAGATATACCACAAAACGTCACTTTTCAGATGGTTTTTGTCTAATATGGAAGTGGCCACATTCGTGTTCAGTCTCAAATGGAAGTGGCCGCATTCGTGTTCAGTCTCAACCTTTATATATGTTATGTATCATCATCAAATACAACATATATTTGAATATTAAGACTGAACGCAAGTGCGGCCACCGCCATTTTAGACAAAAAAACGTCCAAAAATTAGCGCAAATGCTAAAATTGTGATTCAAGATTGCAGTAATTTTGCATGAATTAATGATGCTAGTACCTGATGCATGTGCAGTGTAATGTAAAAAAAAAACCCATATTTATGTAACAAAAGTATTCTTCTTTCCAATAAATAGCTTAAAGTTTACATTTTTAACAAAGTTTTAAATGCTATATTGTGGGGCCACAAAAGGGTCTTACCAGTCCTACTCCTTTATAAGGTCGTGGCTTATAGGAAATCCCTTTCTACCATTTGGCAACAATTCAAGGGGCTAACCATGAAATGAAAAATGGGGCAACAGCAAGAACTGAACTTTATTTCATAATAAAAAGTAATTATTAAAAGTTACAAAATTGTACTCCAAAGCAAACCTGAGTTATCAACCGTAAACCATTTGATTGGGACAAAGTTGAGGCTATATATATGCTTCCATAAATCTATCATGGGTGCATAAATTTATTGATTATTTATTTTGAAACATAAATAAAATTTCATCAATATATTACCTAAACTAAATCTTTCACCATTTAATGTTTTTTAGTTGTAATATAAAGACTTAGTTTGAAAGAAGACAAATGCATTTGAATTAATGAACAAATTCAGAAAATGTTTTACAATTTGTTAAGACACATATAACTTACATAATTTCTGTCACTGAACTTGAACTGACCCTTTAAAGGGGTAAAGATAGTACAACATAAGCCATTTACAACCAGTAAACAATGTGTCCTGAGAAGATTTCATTTGATTTCTTGATTTGGCTACATATAGTTCTACAGAAATGGTTCAGTGAAAAACTGAATCAGAGCTGCACCATTAGAGGATATCTTTTTCAAGTTGTAACAAAATAAAATCACTGACATCATCACTTTCATACAGAATTACTTTTCTTGTTTATCACTGTCGTCTTGGTTTCCACTAAAATGTCTGGTATGTCTTTCATTGTTACTATTATCTCGTTGCCCACTAGAATGTCTCAGATTAGCACTACTTGTCCTTGCCCTGTCCTCTAAACTTAAGCTATTTGTCATTTTATCAATGTCTGGTTTTGGATCACTAAAACTTCTATGATAGTCATTTCCTGATCTGAATCGTCTATCCCTTGGCCCACTACTTAATCTTAAATTACCTCTGTTTCTCCCTCTATAACCTCTATCACCTCTCTGACTTTGACCTCGACCTCTATAACCACGGTAACTCTCATTCTGATGATAGTCTTGATTACCTCTCCTATATACATCAGCACTTTGAGGTCTTTGGTTACCCCTATATGGGCCTCTACTGGGACGTGTCTGATGAGCAACTTGGTGATGGTGACCTCTATTAGTCTGGTAACTATAGTGATGACCTCTGCCTCTGTGTGACTCACTATGTGACTTTGTTTCCATTGATTCCAAACATTTGCTACAAACATCAGCATAGGATGCCCCCTCAGGTTTTTCAGTCTTCTCGCTAAATCCTGATTCTGCACTGCCACTGTTAACTGATGATTCTGAACCAGAAAGGGCAAAGGTTACCCTGCTCTCTTTCTGATGTTCCCCAGATCTTTTCTTTGATGAGCCCTCTTTCCCCTGGTCTTTCTTGTTAGGTGGCTGAGGTGGAGGATTTCTAGCAGATTCCGCACTAGACCCTGACGCCCTACGTGATTTTGGGTTGCTTGAGAACCATGGAGATTTCTGACTTGATACAGACAGTGAACCAGATCCTGATCCTGATGACGTCATTCCTGGAGAACTCTGTTGTGATGATGAAGCAAATCGTTGAAGTGAGGGAGAGTCGGATGACGTCATTCCTGGAGAACTTTGTGGTGATGATGAAGCAAATCGTTGGAGTGAGGGAGATCCTGGGGATGGGTATAACTGGTGAGGAGTTCCAGGAATAGGCTTTGGTGAAGGATATATAATATTTGGAACAGAAAATAAGTCTGGATTAGAAGGTTTCCTGCCAGACACTACTGATGACCAATTGGCAACTGTTCCTATAACAAAAAGAAAAATACAATGGGCGAGTTTCCTTTCATTTTCGTGACTTTGTCCAAAACATAATCTTTTCTAATGGAACAGCCCAGTATGCTATTGTGTTAGTGTTTTATTCAATTTATAACCATCTCCAACCATTGGCTAATACTTTAAAGAAGGGTTTTTGGTACAAGAGTAAACATATATAAAGGTCTTACTGCTTTGATATTGGAATTTTTAAAAGCAATTGACACTCAAACTGAGGTCACTTCACTGGTCAAATGAAATCTTCAATGTGTACATGTTCATGTAAGGTAATTAATTCACATGCAGAATATTAACAACTTATGATGTACAATTTCTGAGCTACGACACTTAATAAACTAAAATGAACACTGGAAATGAGGTCAAGGCCATATGACATATATCAGATAGATATAAACTCCTTGCAACCAATACAATTACAAAATATTATTGTTAACCATGATTATATACTGAGAACTGAACTTAACCTGGACAATAGAGCATGATGTTGAGCTCAAGGCCATATGTCAGATGCACATAAATTTCTTGCAACCAAGAAACCTTGGAAATTTTTCTTTTGCAAAATTTTATTTTTTTTACCAAATAAAGTTGTATGATTAGAAAAAACTAGATTATTAAAGGGGCATTAGCTACGAGATATGAAAAAAATCAAAAGGTTATTTTTTTTTGTTCAATCATTAAAGAAAGTGAAATAGTAAAATAATAATTCGCTTTTAGCAGCCAATTTGGTTCAATTTTGTCAAAATAAACATCACTGATGAATTATTCACTTGCAAGTGAATAATTCAACCTCATTGAATCCATATTCATGTGACCTTCAATTCAAGCCATAAGCTGGACATGGGTTACGCATGCATTCAGCTATTTTTAATAAGGAAAAGAATGTCAACATTGAAAGTGAAACAAGGATGAACCATTTGGTTGACTGATTCAATCCACAAAAAAATCATTCTTATACAGGTAACAACGATTATAAACATACTTTTTAACCTACAATATGAAATCAAACAGTCTAAGAAAAATCCAATTGCACGTGGTCATTATCTGTTAAAATTTATATTTATGTTTATATCGGGTTATATGACCGTTGGCAGTCTCTGGAGGTCATCTCGATGGTAAATTAGATGACGTCTAGACAAAAATACACACGAAATGTTGATACATATTATCAAGTCCATGCATTGTTAATTGTTTTATAGACTTTTTGTAATTTTGACATATGTTTTAGTATGTTACAAATCAAATATGAAAATTTGAGTCAAATCAGTGAACATGAATTTGACAGCTAATGCCCCTTTTACAGACAAAATATCACTTAGATATCTGCAGGTATTATCAAAAAGATATACCAAGTGGTGTTTATGTAGTTTAGCAATTAACTTTGATTTGCAACAGTAAAGAATAAATCTAAAATAAGTGGCACACAGTTTGTCCACATTGGAATGATATACTGTATCTCCAAAAACAAACATAAATATTATCAAACAAAAATGTTTTACTTCAATCTGTTGTTCTATTGACATTTATCATGTTTATCATATGTCCTTGAACTCAATTTCACACTCCAGTATCCAGGTTAAGTTTTCTTGTTGGGAGTCCAATCATCAGTAACTATATATGATAAATCAACTATATTTGGTATGTAGTTTGGCTGCAAGAAATATACATGAATATGCTTCTGACTTGGCCTCAAGCTCAATTGCACGCTGAAGTATTTTTTGGTTTCCATCACAGTGGTTGCCATTTCTATTTGTTTTCATTTTGATTTCCATTCCTAAACAATGTTTCTCCGGTGTTTAAGGTTTAACAAAGTAGTGTGTCACATGATTTGAAAAATAATTTACCTATTGATCCCAAATCAACAATCTTGTTTTTTCAAAGGGGTATTCTCAAGATAACCTTGGTGAATGTTGGACTTAAGGTGAAAAAGATTTAACCCAGATAACAAATTTGGCCAAAATTTCATCCATCAATTGCTGTTGTGACCTTGACATTTGACCCTATGACCTCAAAAATAAATAGAGGGCTTCTTCATTCCAAGTTTTGAGAAAAAATGCATAAACAGTTCAAAAATTGTTATCCAGAAAAATTTCAGTATATTAATAGCTACTGTGACCTTAACCCAAAAATCAAAAGGGTTCTTTCTCAACACAAGTAGCATTGTCAAACCAAGTTTGGTCAAGTTTTGCCCAAATTGCAGTCTCTTAATAGCTACATTGACTCTTGAATTTTGACCTACTGACCCTAAAATTAATAGGGTGCCTCCTCACTCCCAGCATGGGTCTTTATCAAATCAAGTATGGTAAAGATATTGTTTATGGTTCATGATTGTGTCCAAAACAATATCTTGACAGACATATATTGAGTATCTGCAAAAAGTTTATTTGTAACAGATTAAAACTCAAACCTTTACTTTCAGGTAATGTCTGAGTTGTAAATAAACTTCATTGTGACCACACATCCTGTAAATATGGATAACTCTGACTAACCTTTACTTTCTGGTAATGTCTGAGTTGTGAATAAACTTCTCTGTGACCACACACCCTGTAAATATGGATAACTTTGACTAACCTTTACTTTCTGGTAATGTCCGAGTTGTGAATAAACTTCTCTGTGACCACACACCCTGTAAATCAGGAGAGCTCTGACTCTGATGTACAACTTTATGGGTTGGTGAAGAATTACTTTCTAATAGTTCTGTCCCTTCCAATTGTTGTAAGGTAAGAGTCACAACATGCTGACCAGAACTGGTTCCCTGTGGATCCAGAGTGTGCTGATACCTTATCATTTTAGGCTTCCTTACAGATTTCTGAAACAAAACAAAACAAAAAGATAAAATGATAACTAAAATGGATTCCTAGCCTTGAGTGTTTAATCAATGGAAGCAGAATATAATTTGTTAGTCTTCAACAAATGTTAGTTTACTGTATTACATACCTGCTACATGTGTCTGTCCAATAACAAGAATCTTGTCTATACCGTAATTATACCATATACTATCATTATTTATATGTAGTTTTGCCAATAAACACATAAAAAAAAAGAATCTTGTCAATAGTTGTTTTTACTTATAACTTAACTTTGCTGTTGGTGACATATCTTTGTTGGTCTCTGTTTAATTGTTTTAAAACTTTTCTAGAGACTAAATAATTTAGAACTTGACATATTGTATTGACAATTGAAGACTGTATGTTGACCTCTAGATGTTTTGTATTGTTTTGTATCATTGGGTTTCTGTCTCGCTAAGATAAACTTACATTATACAATGTACATTTGTATGTTGGCATTTTTTACAAGATCATGTGACATTTACAGTAATATTCATCAATTAAATAGTTACAATAAAAAATAATTTCTATAAAAATATCTTAATAAAAAATAATACTGATTTCTTTTTTAAAGCAATCTGTACCTCAAAATTTACTTGGCAATCGATAATCATGTTAAGTGTGGAGCCGGTAACCCACTTCTCCATGATAAATGGTGGCTGAAAATAAAAAATAAAGATTTATTGATGTGAAATTTTTAATATACTTTTAAAAAAATAACTACTGTTGGCCATTTGCAAACAACCAGTATAAGCACAAAACATAAAATACACCATATAGCTATTTAGTCCAATCAGAAAAAAACAGTCACTTAGACAACTTCCTGTTTGGGTCAAGTGTTGCAAAAACAAAGGTCATCAGTAATGAGCTGAGGGAGGAAAACATGTAGAAAGTGAACATTTTTGAAAGGAGTAGGTTCAGTAAGACCCCTTTTTGGCCCCAAAATATAGCAGTTTTACAAAATTGTTAAAATGTAAACTTTTAGCTATTTATTGGAAAGAAGAATACTTCTGTAACATGAATATGGGCTTTTTTGACCATACAATGCACATGTATCAGGTACTAGCATCATTAAGTCATGCTAAATTACTGAAATCTTCACAATTTTAGCATTTGAGGTAATTTTTAGACGATTTTCGTCTAAAATGGAAGTGGCTGCATTTAAGTTCATTCTTAATATTTAAATGTAAGTTGTATTTGATGATAATACATAACATATATAACGGTTGAGGATGAACACGGATGCGGCCATTTTTATTTTTGACAAAAACCATCTAAAAAATGACATATTATGGCATATTTGATAGATTTTTAATATTTAAGCTTGAATTTGAGCGTCATTACTGACTAAATCAGTCCAAATCTGTCACATAAACTAATTGAATCTACTAAAGTAGACACTTAAGTGTTTGACAAGTGTCCAAAATCTATCATCAGATTAACCTGAAGTTTTGGGCCAAAATCGGCCCTTACCGGACCTACTCCTTTGTATAGTTTATGATCAAATTTTTTAAGCACTAATTAAAGTAAGAAAAATGGTTTGTTTGAAGTGTTTACAATGGTTTAAATATAACTCTTTGAAAATTTTTATGCACAGTCATTGTTTAAACAAGGCCCCAGATAGCTTCAACTGGTTTGAAAGAGTTGTGTAATTCTAAAACTTATCCGAATGGAATAAATAGCGATACGGTGTATTATCTACCAGTATTTTTCTCCTAAAAAATAATGAAAAAAAATTCTACTACATACCCCCACTCCTAATTCAAAGTATCAAAAAACAGGAAGTAGGTGTCTGACAGATTCAATAAAATGCTCCGCTGGTGCGCAGCTTGATATGACCACAGAGGTCGAACCCTGAACAGTTGGGGCAAGTATGGACACAACATTCAAGCTTGATACAGCACTGAATTTGGATTGTAATTAAATATTTGACACAGCATAGGTTTCTGACACAGAATGAATGTGGTCTAAGAACTTAATTTTTTTTAATTTACCTATTCAAACCATATCATTATTATTTGCTTTTATATATAAATCAGAAATAACCAATTTAAAATGGAAAATTTTAAAGAAAAAAAAGGGGAAAAAAAATCCCCCCCCCAATTTTTTGAACCCCCTATGATTCATCACCCCCAAACTCAATCCCAGCCTTCCCATATGTATATTTCTTAAGTATAGTATTGTATCTTAACGTACAGTATGTATTTCAATAGGTCCCAGTTTGCGGGCTAGGTGTATGTAGTTTTGTATTGTAAAGTATGGAGATATAGTACAGATGGTGGTGAAACCTGTTGAAAGTGCGGCGTTCCGTGTTTATCATCAATAGTTTGGCAACATAGAATATTTGGAGTCGAGTCTAGACAATAGGGCAGCCGTAATGTGTACACCGCTTATGTTGGGCCAGTTTTGTGTAGTTACCGAAAACCAAATACGTAAAATTCCGTAGTATCGTTTATCCAGATTTCATAGTTTAATATAAAGAAGAAGGAACAGTTCATTAAACATTTGACAGTATTATTTCATTTGATTTCATCTATTTATATTTGTAAATTTGTACCTAATTAAATTGTTATTTTGTTTAAAGTAGTAGTCATTTATTATCTGTAAGTACAAACTCCTAAGTCAGCTCTCGTCTATCCGTGACAGTGGTATGGTACCTTGCAGTACAATTTCAGAGAGATCCATACACTTGAACACAAGTTATTGTCTGGAAACTAGAAAAATGCTTGTTTTTTTGGCCCCTTTTTGGCCCCAAATTCCTTAATGTTTAGGGCAATTACCCCCAAACTCAAACCCAGCTTTCCCTTTATGATATGGAACCTTGCAGTATAATTTCATAAAGATCCATACACTTACACACAAGTTATTGTCCTGAAACTAGAAAAATGCTTGTTTTTTTGCCCTTTTATGGCCCCTAATTCCTAAAATTTTGAGGGAATTACCCCCAAAATCAATCCCAGCCTTCCCTTTGTGGTATGGTACCTTGCAGTACAATTTCAGAGAGATCCATACACTTGAACACAAGTTATTGTCTGGAAACTAGAAAAATGCTTATTTTTGGCCCCTTATTCCTAAATGTTTTGGGCAATTACCCCCAAACTCAATTCCTGCTTTCCCTTTGTGATATGGAACCTTGTAGTACAATTTCATAAAGATCCATACACTTGAACACAAGTTATTGTCATGAAACTAGAAAAATGCTTGTTTTTGCCCCTTTTTGGCCCCTAATTCCTAAAATTTGGAGGCAATTACCCCCAAAATCAATCCCAGCATTCCCTTTGTGATATGGAACCTTGTGGTACAATGTCAGAGAGATCCATAGACTTACACACAAGTTATTGTCATGAAACTAGAAAAATGCTTGTTTTTTGCCCCTTTTTGGCCCCTAATTCCTAAAATTTGGAGGCAATTACCCCCAAAATCAATCCCAGCATTCCCTTTGTGATATGGAACCTTGTGGTACAATGTCAGAGAGATCCATACACTAACACACAAGTTATGTCTGGAAGTTACAAAAATGCTTATTTTTGGCCCCTTTTTGGTCCCTAATTCCTTAACTGTTGGTACCATAACCCCCAAAATCAATCACCACCTTCCTTTTGTGGTATTGAACCTTATGGTAAAATAGAGATCCATTCACTTAAACTAAAGTTAGAGTGAGAAAACCAAAGTGTCTTCGGACGACGATGACGACGCCAACGTCATACCAATATACGACCTCAAAATTTTTTTGCGGTCGTATAAAAATCATATTTCAACTCAACAATGTTCAGTTGCTGACCAAATGTCAAGTCATTTTGTTGGTTAGTATTGGGGGGAAAATGTGACGTATATTTTAAAGCTCATTCATCATATTGAAAAATTCAAAGTATTGGTATTAAAACAGGAAAATGATATCTGACAGATCCATAAACTGCCCACACATTACAACACATCACTATCAAGCTGATGATTATACAGTCATTCTGTTACAAGTTTGTTTTTTTTTAAGTGGGACAAAAAATATTTGTTAGAAGAAAGGACATACAGGGTGATTGTAATAAAGACCCACCCCCTGGGTTGGGGATATAAAAAGAAAAGATATAGGATGAGTCTGTCAGTTTACCACAAGCAATGACTCTCATTCTTAAATCTGCATACTAAAATGAACTATCTGCAGTTTTAATTGAAGTTGTTACAGATTTATATTGTCTGCCATACTTCCTATCTACATATAGATAACTTGGATTAAGTTTATGTATGTGCTTGTTTTATATATGACAACAATGATGTAGACATCTGTATGTAGTCTAATCTAAATTAAAATATAAATAATGGTGATTTGCATATGAAAAACAAAATTCATGTCATTTAAAGTTCATATGAAACATTTTCTGCATACCTGTAAAATAAAGATGCCTCTTTTTCCATAAATATTTTATTAAAACATAAGAAAGTTTAAAAGCTAAGAAAAAATTATCAATATAAAAATAATATGTGGTGTGATTGCCAATGAGACAACTATCCCCCAGCACTGTTGTCAAAATTCTGAAATTAAAGCAAGTCTTCAGTATGTTACATATTTTACACATGAGATGACTTACACATGTGAGATTTTATATGACTTTTCATTAGAACAAAGAATGTTACATCTTAAACACATGAGATTGCTACATGATAGCTTTTGTGGGAGTTCACTAGAACATGAGAATGTTACATCTTTAACACATGAGATGACAAAGATGTGAGATTTTATATGAGGTTCCATTAGAACATAAGAATGTTACTTCTTAAACACATAAGATGACTACATGATAGCTTTTATGGGGGTTTACTAGAACATGAGAATGTTACATCTTAAACACATGAGATGACTCACATGTGAGATTTTATATGAGGTTCCATTAGAACATAAGATTCTTACATCTTTAACACGAGATGACTTACATGTGAGATTTTATATGAGGTTCCATTAGAACATAAGAATGTTACATCTTTTACACATGTGACTGCATTGAATTCTTCTATTTCTTCATCTTCATCTATCTCCATGTACATCTTCCATTTAAATTCCTGGAATATATAATATATCTAAAATTCATATGGCTTCAGTGAATGCATAATAAAAACTTTGTCTGAAATATTCTTTTGTAACCTTTTTTGGTAGTTATTTTCTCTCCACATGTTGATGTGATAAAAACAGCTCAGTTAGCTTCCTTGAGCTCCAGTGTAAATAGACTGATATACATATATCACGTAAAGAATAGTTTTCTTGTAGCATGTTATTGTACAAACATCTTAAATTCTTAGTCAGTGGAATAGCAAAAGGTCCTACATACTTATATAAGAATAGATTCATCAACACAAACAGTACAGGGAGTCACAATATGTGCAATGTCCATGACAAACTGTACAGAATTTCAATGCAGAAAAATTGCTTCGCATGGCACAGCTTGATATGACCGCAGACGTTGAACCCTGAACAGTTGGGGCAAGTATGGACACTACATTCAAGCTTGAAACAGCTCTGAAATTGGATTGTGATTAAATATTTGACACAGCATAGGTTTCTGACACAGAATGAATGTGGTCTAAAGACTAAAATATTTGAAATTAAACATTTACCTGTTATAGTCTAATATCCAAAATATGAATACATGGTTCAGCAAATCAAAGTACCCCAAGAATTTAAATTTTGATGAAATCAAACAAAGTTTAATTTTGGCCCCTTTTGACCTCCATGTGGACCAATTTGATAACAGGGCACAAAATCCAAAATCTAAACACACAGTAAAATTCAACATATCAAAGAACCACATATATTCAATTTTTGTTGAAATCAAACAAAGTTTAATTTTGGACCCTTTGGATCTTGATGTGTATATCAAAGAACCCCAAGAATTCAAGACTTTGAATGAAACCCCATTGAAATTGGTCAAGAGATAAGCAATTTATACCAAGTATTAGAAAAATATTGTTTTTGGCTCCTTTTTCCTAAACGATAAGGGCCATAACCCCAAAAACCAATCCCAACCTTCCTTTTTTTGGTATGGAACCTTGGGGTATAATTTCATAGAGATCCATAGACTAATACTCAAGTTATTGTCCAGAAACCAAAAAATCCTTGTTTTTTGGCCCCTAATTCCTAAACGGTTTGGGCAATAACCCCAGAAATCAATCCCAACCTTCCTTTTAAGGTATGGATCATTGTGGTAAAATTTCATTGAGATCCATACATTAATACATAAGTTTTTGTCTTGAAACAAGAAAAACACTTGTTTTTGGCCCCTTTTTGGTCCCTTAATCTTACAACAGTTAGGACAATAACCCCCAAAATCAACCCCAAGCTTCCTTTTGTGGTATGGAACCTTGTGATACAATTTCATAGAGATCCATACATTTATACTCAAGTTATTGTCTGGAAACCAATGTCTTTGGACGATGAAGACAAAAACGTCATACTATTATGATTATATGACCACAAAATTGGTACCATAAAAATTGAAGATACATTTTAACTTTGTTTGGGACTATATAAATTAATGAACTGATATAAACAATATCTATCAGATGGATGTATGACAACCTATGGAGAACAGTGGAAGTAAATCTAATATTGCCTTTCTGACAACCACATTGTTTACTTTCTTTTTGTATACTCTAGTTCACTGTAATAATTTAAGGAAACCTGCAAAGATCCTCACATTTTTAATATACTTACTACTTACAAGAAAGATAATGAAATTATACCATGATGTAAAACTAAGCCACGGGGATCAAACTAACCGGTTTTTAAAGCTGTAAACAGATTTGTGTAAGAATTTATTTCCTCTGTAACCTGCAGATATGGGAATTAGCAGGATAGCAGAAAGTACTTTGCACTGCATGAAATGAATATTTTTAGATTCTGTCAAAGCCCTGGATGTATTTCATGTTATGTTTAAGTCTTCACATAAAAACAAAGTTTTCCTGGTTTCATGCAGTGACTCAATTAACTTAATTGAAGAATTCCTCTGAGTCCTCTGATAGTGAGGATTAATTTAATCAATTTTTGTATAAAATATGTAAAAGCTAACATTGTTATATAAATGTGAATTAAACTCTGCAGTCACTAGACTCTTGATGGAAAAGTCTTTGTAGCATTTTCATGTAAACTTAATAATATAATATGCTTTTTAATCTGACTTATTATAAATGATTCAATTCAAGGATATTTGCAAAATGTAGTAGTGTATAAATAAGATAACAGGTACTTTTATGCTCAACATGAATTCAAAGATTACTAGACCCCTACTTGCAGAAAAACTCTTTAACAGTAAATGGCAAAACCAAAATCCACATTGAACCTGACCTGTTTTTTATGTTTCATAACATTTATTTCACAAACTGGAGAAAAAGTGAAATTTTTTTTGAAGACCAATTTTGCCAAATTGAAATAAGTATATATTAATTCACGGCCAATATAGATGGTATATATTGATTGAAGTGACATTTGTCAGTTGTGGCTAGTTAATATGGCAGACATATAATTTCATACTCTATACAATACAAATTTTGCCATTTCAATGAACCAGAATACCCCTTCTTTTACAGCAATAATGTTTGATATCTTTTATAAAATGTACCACTACAATATCCTCTCTTCAGTGGATTTTGTTTATCTCAGTTAGCAGGAAATCATATTTTATGGTGCAGGAGAACTTATTTTTTCCAATAAACAAAATGTACAAACTAATTACTGAGCAGCTGCACATAATTATTTGTCCCCAAGCCATCATATCAAAACTACAAGGAAAACTCTAATCAAATAAAAGTGTAGTCAGAAATCTTCAGCAGTAAAGCTCAAATCTTATGAAACATCATCATTAAGTGAAAACTGTCTACAAAGATCTTTATTAATCCTAATACTCTAATGCATGAAGACTTTCAAAGTAGTCTTGTGTAATGTAATCTCATCTTTCTAACATAATGCATCAAAGTTTTCTTTCAACCATTTAATAAAACATGCAGCAGCCTTGACATAAAAGAAGTGCTCCCTGTTAACTAAATCAAAAAGATAAAGAAATTGTGTATGTTTATTTCTAGTTCCATCCCATTAATAAATCTGACTTTTTTCTTCATTTCTTGACATGCTCAATTTTACTGCTCATAGATCTAAGTCAAAACAATTCATAACTACATTAATCTAACAGCTTATTAAAAACACATTACTTCACTACTCTTTGTAATCTACAACTTAACTTCCAAACAGAAAACTGACATAAGTAAGACATTCAATCATATCTTTCAAAAAAAAAAGGAAAAATAGAAAGAAAAACAAGAATATAAAAAGAAAACTTATTCTACAATTCATTGCAGACATAATTACAATAGAATCCTAGTTTTTATCATTATTCAAAATATGTTTTTTAAGTAACTAACTTCTTCAGTAGATATTTTTTTTATTAGTAATGACTCACAACCCAAATTTGAATTCTGTCTGTGTGTTCTGATTCTTAGCATTGTGTATGAGTTTCATAAAATTTGGATGAGACAAACTTAAGTCAGAGTGAGGAAACAAAAATAATTTGCAATTTTCCAAATTATAAAGGGGCTTAACTCTAGAACTGTGAGTGACTCACTGCCCAAATTCGAACTCTGTCTGCAAGTTTTAGTTCTTAGCAGTTGTGTATGATTTTCATAAAATTTGGATGAGGAAAACTTATTAGAGTGTGGAAACGAAAATATTTTGCAATTTTTCAAGTGATAAAGGGCACAACTCTAGAACAGTAAGTGACTCACTGCCCAAATTCAAACCTCGTCTGTTAGTCTTCATTCTTATCATTGTGTATGAGTTTCATAAAATTTGCATGAGGCAAACTTAAGTTAGTGTACGGAAATGAAAATGGGACAGACGGACGGTCAAGGATAACACTTAATGCGCAGGGATGCATACACCATAATATGATGTAATTGAGATATTGTTTCCACCTTCCGAAAAACTCAAACCAATTCTTATTGGAATAATTTGTATTCTGAGGAGCTTTCATTGTATTCCAAATCATTAAAATAAAATATACATATTTTCATATAACTTTAAAATGTAAGGACTTCTAACAGGTTTCAATCTCTGATAACTATACAAAAGTACTGGATGAATGTGAATTTCTATGAGAACATGAGTGTTATATTTTGATCACACAATTTAACCTTCATAATAATTACTTATGAAAGTGGCAGACTTGGAAACATCTTCTGTTCCTATTAAGCCTGACTTTTGATGTCTAAAATAATTGCTAGAAGTCATGTTTCCAATCCACTAGAAATTCTACATCTGAAAAGGCTGATTAAAACCTATGTAGTGTACATTTCTCACATCTCTGTGTCTTTACAAGTATAATTAGCAATGACATCATTTCTCTTTATCAACAAGGCATACACTATAACATGAACCTAGAAATACTGGATAGAGACCTATTATATTAACAAGATGTTATCAAATGTAATTTATTATCCTTTTCGTTAAAAAAAGTCAAATTGTGGAAAGACAACCCTCCTAAAGTAAATTACTGAAATTTATCAATTTGCATTAACCATAAATCTTGGTGTAAATAAGATACACCAAATCGAGCTAACACTGACATAAAGCAGAGCTAACACTGACATAAAGCAGAGCTAACACTGACATAAAGCAATGCTAACACTGACATAAAGCAGTGCTAACACTGACATGAAGCAGAGCTAACACTGACATAAAACAGTGCTAACACTGACATAAAGCAGAACTAACACTGACATAAAGCAGAACTAACACTGACATAAAGCAGAGCTAACACTGACATAAAACAGTGCTAACACTGACATAAAGCAGAGCTAACACTGACATAAAGCAGAGCTAACACTGACATAAAGCAGCGCTAACACTGACATAAAGCAGAGCTAACACTGACATAAAGCAGAGCTAACACTGACATAAAGCAGAGCTAACACTGACATAAAACAGTGCTAACACTGACATAAAGAAGAGCTAACACTGACATAAAGCAGAGCTAACACTGACATAAAGCAGTGCTAACACTGACATAAAGCAGAAC